CCCCCCCTATACCATCCCCCCCATATCTCCCCTCCACTCCCAGCTCCTGGGAAAGGAAGGGGGGGTTGATGGGATTGGGGATGAACCCGTAAAATTTAGGGAAAAAAAACAACGGGAATAAGCATAAATCGTTACAAACCCGGCATATGAAAACGGAAGCATCTTTGCGTTTAAAAATAAACAAGAAAATGTGCAATGTGTCTCTTTTTTTTTTTTTTTTCCATCATATTTCACAGGGCCTGTACATGAAAAGGCGGTTTGTGTAGTGGCTTTTTTTTTTTTTTTTTTTTTTTAAGTGCGGAGCTTTCAAAAGGAAGAGAAGATCTACAGATAATGCCATTGATCCGGCAGGAGGAGAAAATCTCTACAACAAAGGGGGCTTTCCCATAAATCTGGACCAAACTTCTTGGACCCTCCGGCCAGAAGCAGAAAAAAAAAAAAAAAAAAAAAAAAAAAAAGAGAGTCAGGAGTTGATCCCACTTGGTCCCAGAGAAAAAGAAGGCTGCTGGGTGTAAAAACCACCAAGGGCTGGTGAGGATTTGTGAGTGAAAGCGGTCTTTTAGGAAAAAAAACCCCAACAAACAACCCCCAAACCAAACCAAAGCCAAGAGTAACGCTTATTTTGTTCTGCTTGGGAATGGAAAGAAGCAGCAGTAGGATCCTGGAGGCGATAGGACCAGGAGGAAGCTGTTAAATTCTGGCAGGGTCCGGGTGCGGGGGCCGTGTCAGGGCAATTAGGGCGGCGCGGCGCGGCGCTGCGTGGCCCCGCTGTCAGCCTTAATCTGCGCGCTGACGGGCAGCACCAAATCCCAGCTACAGCCCACAGGAAGCACAACCAGTGAACCCATATTGCTTTGACAGTTGCACTCATCTAGAAATAATGCAAAACGCTATTTAGATGTATACATCACGACCCTGTGCTCCAGGAAGAAAACAATCTAATGAGGGGCCGGGAGACCGCTCGCAGAAAACAAGGAGCAGCCAAGAGCTTGGTTGTTGTTGGTGGTTGGTTTGTTGCCTCTTATTTTCTTTTTTTTTTTTGGTTTTGTGTGGTGGTTGGTTGTGGGTTTATTTATTTTTTTTTCTTTTCTTCCCCCCCCTCCCCATCTCTTCCTTTTACAATTCTTCGTATTTTATCCTGTTGGAGCGCCGCGTCGGGGTGGGTTTCACCGAGCTGTTCTTTGCCTCCATGGCCTCGCTGAAGAACTTGAAAATGGATGGAAAACTCTTCCAGGATGTCAGTTCGTGGCGCTCCGTACCTGTGGAACACAGAGGGGACAGTTTGACTGGGGAACAGCCACACACCCCCCCAGCGAGGGGTTTTAATGCAGAACCCACAAAACCAAGGTCCAGGGGGAGCCTTGGTGGGGCTGGGGCTGCCCCACTGTTGAGTTTGGGGGGCATCAGGGCAGGAATAACCCCCCCTGCTCCAAATACACACACACACAGGCACCAGGACCATGGGTCAGAGGCCCTGAACGTGTCTCAGGGGTGGGAAGGTGAGACCCCAAAGCACCCTGATGAGCAAAGCTTCATTAAAGCTTCACACCTCACCTGCCTGGCCTACCTGGGGAAAAATTAAAAAAAAAAAAGGCATCTGCTTTTCAGGGCTGGGGTATTTTGTATTTTTTTTTTTTTCTCCATTTTACATTGCTTTTAGCCTGCTAGATGCATTTTTAACCGAAAGAGAACCCAACCTGTGCCACAACCTGAGGCATCAGGAAGGCATCCTTCCCCCATCCCTTCCCAACACCCCCAGACGTGGCACTGAGGCACCATACTCCTGATTATCTCCTCCCTCTGCACACACATTCCCCCCTCTCCCTCTTTCCCTTCTTTGGTGGGCACTTTTCTTGCTTTACAAACATCTCCTTCAACGTACGGCACATCTGCTGTATTTAAACACCAAAAAAACCCCAACAAAAAACAACCCCAAAAAACCCCCAAACCAACCAACACAACAACCCAAACCCCACCACAACCCCCAAAAGAAAACCAAGAGGGTGGAGAAGAGGGAGCCAAGGGCGGTGAAGAGTTGGGACCTCTTGCTGGGGAACCCAATTAATGCAGAGATGCCGCCTGGAAGTCTCTGGATCCTGGGCCTCCGTTTGATACTTTAACATTGTTAATGATAATTCTTTAGTCTGTAATAGTAGGTCATTGCTATGGTTACTCTACAATGGTGCAACACTTCGCTTTCCCCTTCAGCTATTCGCTGAGACCCGGTAACCACATTTGTTGCCTAGCAACAGTTTTGTGACAGTATGACAATCTGGGGGTGACAACAATGAAGGACACGGTGGCCGTGGCCTGCCCGGCAGAGAGGGGTTCCACGTGGGGGTGGCCGATGGTCCCCGGGGGATGTGGGGTGGCTGACGGTCCCCCGGGGATGGGATGCGAGGTGGGAGCCCTGGAGGGATGCTCTGGTGTGGTGCCCCCCTTGCACACCCACCTTCACACCCCCACCAGGACCCTCACCCCCACGTGCCCGCTCCTTGGTGGCTCCACACACGCCATCCCCTCCAGAAAGTCTTTGATGGAGGAAGGCTGGACCCGTCACATCGCCCTCCCCCGCTCTCCCTCAAAGGCAGCCATCAGACAAGCTCCTCCAAAACAGCCCTCTCCAGAAAGAGACACCACTGCCCACACAAAGAGATGGTTTTGTAGGGAGAGGGCCCACGTCACACGCGCACACAGACATCCCCCTCCTCTCGTTGCATGGAGACGATTCATGACATCTCACACCAACGTCCCAGAGGCACCCTTTACACCAACACTTTCCACCTCCCAATTCACCCATCCTTCTGCAAACCCTCTTCGCTGGGAGGTGGCCCATCATGTCTTGCAGGTGGCTTTCAATGCTGACCACCTACTCCATCCCCTATGAGAGCCAACCCATAGAATCACGGAATGGTTTGGGTTGGAAGGGACCTTCAAGACCATCCAGACCCACCCCCTGCCCTGGGCAGGGACACCTCCCACCACACCAGGTTGCTCCAAGCCCCCTCCAACCTGCCCTTCAACCCCTCCAGGGATGGGGCAGCCACAGCTTCTCTGGGCAACCTGGGCCAGGCTCTCACCACCCTCACACCAAACAAGTTCTTTCTAAAACAGCCACACTCACTGATGTTCGTTGGAGTCATCCTGTACACAGAGGTGTCCCACCACAGCAGAAGGATAAAGCTCCCCTTCCAGCACAACCTGGAGCCTAGTAGACCTGTCCCTCAGGTTACGGCATGGTTGGGTGTGCTACGATGGCCCACTGCCACCATGCAATGACACCAGCAGAGATGTCACCTGCCGAAGCTGGTTTTATGGAGGGACAGGCTACCCTAGCACACCCCGAGGACACCTCTGCACCTGTGTCACAGCCCACGGGAACATCACACTGAGCCCCAAGAGGTGAAAATGTCTTCCCATGCCTCCTTCTGGGCCCTGCGAGGACGCTTCCCACACAAACACGTCTCCGTCACTCCTGCCTCCCCTCTCCTTCTGTCTCGGTCGTGTTCATCCTCATTAATATCCACTGGATTAAATTAGATGAAAATATAGGCAGTGAACATTATGCTGTCTTTCCCCCCCCCTCCACCCCGTCCTTTCTTTTTCTTTTTATCAACAACCTTCCTCCTCTGTGAAAGGGCCATCCAGAAACAAAAAAAAAGACAAAACAATAAGTTTCTGAAGCCTCCTCGTCCCTTTCTCCGTCCTGCCTTCTCCCATGCACCCTCCTCACGTCCTCAAGAGAGATCAGGCTCACATTCACTGGTGCTCCTGAAACTGATTAACCTACAGCTTTCCTGGAGCAACCCCTCTCAACCCACCCCTCTCAAAAAACAATTCAAGCTTTGAGTCTAGAGGGACTCAATGATTCAGCGGTCTAAAGCAATTTTAACACTCCCTATTTTCCCTTTCCTAGTAACAATCTCACTGACAGATGAACAATTTCCCTGGTGATAAAATCACTACAATGGCTATTTAGTTTCCAGGATTATGATGATTCTTTGCTTGATTAATATTGCAATAAGAAAAGCTTGCCAAGTATCTGCCTTGGCCCTTTATAGTCATTTAAAGGTCAAATTCTGTCCTTACATTCAACCACTACTAAAGGGAGAGCCCTAAAAATTTAACACTGCACAGACTGTGCATTTATGATTTATATACCATGAGGCTGGGAAGATTACACAGAAGCAAGAGGAGTTATGTCCTAAGGGTGGTGACAGATTTGGCCACAAGGTTTTCACCAGAGGAAAAACATCTTTGGCGACTGCGATCGCGGTTGCGTATTTAGCGGCAGACGAACCTTGAGTATTTAGTCGTAGACAAACCTAAATTAAATGCATGAGCAGCCGTCTATTTTTCGATAGAAAAGAATCATTTGTGAGGGCTGGATAATAAGAAGCAGCTTGCACTGAAGCCAAGGTCCTCTAAGTTGTGTTATACACCCTTAGCGCTCATTAATTTCAACGACCGTGATGATAAACCGCGCGATTCAATATACCGCATTAAGCGATGGTTGTCGCACAACGTATAGTGATTCCAGACATTAATTCTTTGAGAAATCTTGGGAGCATGTTGCAACGAAAAGCCATATAAAACCCGTTAAGTGTGGGAGACAGCTCGAACATCCTAAAACACGCGAAGGCTGCAGTCGCAGGAGAAAAAAACCATCATCAGCCCCAATTCGACTCCCAGCCCCACCAAGAGAAACGCGATAAAAGCAGGGCGACCTCCCAGCTGCTGTTGCAGAAAGAGGCAGGGAGAACTGGGTGAATATTTTAACATGCACAGAACGTCACTGGAAAGCAGCCCCGAGGAGAAGGTGGATCCCGTAACGAGTAACGGCTGAAGAACGGCGAGCAAGTTTCAGAATCAATTTACCCTCCACCACCACAAAGAGATATTGACAATTAGAAATAATGAAGACTGGCCCAATACAGTTGTTGATGGAAAAAAAAAAATTAAAAAAAAATAAATCAGGTAAGGGAATACTTGCAAAAATTTAATATACAAATCATCAGGTCTGGATGACATGCATCTGAGGGTCTTCTGGGAATCAGCTAATGAACTTGCTGAACTACCGGCAATTATTTCTGAGAATTCATGCACAATCAGGTAGGCACCAGAGGCCTGGGGCGGGGGTGGGAAGAAAAACAACGCTAATTTGAGGAAAGGAAGATTAATTGAAACTACTGCATGTGAAATTTACCTTTGGATCGTCTTAAAGTAAGAGATCAATGTTAAAAAACAATCACAAGCGCCTTCGGGGTAGCAGGAGCCTTACAACAGAACAGGCTGGGATTTGACAAGAAGAGATAAAAACCAAACTTGACCACTTCATTGAATCACAAAAACCAGCGGGAGAGAGTTATCCATTGCCATGTCTTTCCGCATAGGTCAACCCGGCAGCGCGGGGGTGGTGGGAACTGGGGGAGTCATTTGCAACCAACCGAGCATGACCTTCACTGCTCCGATGGGCTGTGCTCACCCTAACTTCTCATTTGCCAAGGAAGTAGCTTCTCCCCAGCCCAGGAGACCTCACAACACCTGAGATTTATGCCACTGCAGTTCCCAGAGGTGCAGTGTGGTGCGGTGCCTGTGCCGGCCCCAGCTGTGAGCAGCAGGTCCACCAGCATCCACAGCACCTCTGCGGGCCGGGTCCAGCCCTTAGCATCTCCTCTCCACTCATCTCCTCACGGTTCCTCTGCGGTTCCTCCCCTGCCCTCTGCAATTACCACTGCAAAGACCTCAATAGCATCACACTTCATCATGTTCACTACTTTTCAGCCCAAAAAAGGCATAACTCTGCATCTACGAGACGACGTATGGTATCTCAGCCCATCTGGGAATCACAGAATCACAGAATCTTCATGGTTGGAAGGGACCTTTGAGATCATCGAGTCCAATCACAAAACCTCCCCCCCCAAAACCAAAACCCAAACCAAACTAAAAAAACCCCCCAAACTCCCACAAACAGACACAACCCAACAATCCTGGGCACTAGAGCATGCCCTGAAGTGCCACATCTACACGTTTCTTAAAGCCCTCCAGGGATGGTGACTCCATCACCTCCCTGGGCAGGCCGTTCCAGTGCCTGACCACCCTCTCAGGAAAGTCATTCTTCCTCAGATCTAATCTAAACCTCCCCTGCCCCAACTTCAGACCATTTCCTCTGCTCCTGTCATGATTCCCTTGGGAGAAGAGACCAACCCCCACCTCTCTACACCCTCTTTTCAGGGAGCTGTAGAGGGCAATCAGGTCT